TCTGCTCTTCTCCAATTGCTCTGGCAGTTCTGAAGCCAGGTGTCTCACTTCAGACACCTCTATGCCTTAGCTGTTCAAAGCAATGTCCAAGGCTCTGAGTGGCTGCACGATAGTGCTAACAAGGACTTCTCTCCCTCCTGGCAGCCTGCCCAGAGAACTCTTAAGAAACTCAGGTCCTGGGAATAATGAGGTTCAATAGCCACATGCTAACAAGTCAAAGAATTTCAGGAAAGAGTGAAGCATACAATTCAACCCTGGAAAACAAAGACGCAGCTTGTCAGAGGCTGGTCACACTGCTCCAGTGGGCTCCGTGGTTTTGTGAAAGGTGGTTAGGCCCTTTGAGCTTTGAAATCTCCTTCTGTTTCGAGTTTCTGTCTTTAGGCTGACTGTAATCCTGCTTTTACCAAATTTCTATGTCTATGGTGGTAGCTGGCTATCTGTGATGCCTATGAAGGCACTTCATTTTTCAAGATCATATGATAACCTTTGTTCCTAAACTCTTGGTTTCAGTTTCTTTCTTTCTTTTTTTCCTCTGCTGCACTCCAGAAAAGATACTATATTTGGTTCAGGAAAATATATACCTTGTTTTTGAAACTGAATTCCAAATTTAATGAAATATTAATTTAGTTCAGTTTTGGTAAAGAGACTATTTTGATATGCTTGTTTTATATAATTTTATTAATGGATCAATAATATTTAATCTTAGATTTAGCCCTAAATCTTACAGATCTTCTAACTTTGGGTTGAAAAGAAAATAAATTGGTTCATGGGTCGGTAGATAATATTTATGGTTAGTCCATGTGTTCATACACTATTGACATGGAGAGAACCTTAGAAATCATCCAATTTAATCTTCATTTTTTAAAGATGAGCATCGTAGCCTCAGCAAGATTACATGACTTGTATACCCAGGCTGGAGATAAGTTGTTGGACTCCTGATCTGGGCTTCAATTATAGGAGGGGAGGTAAGAAATGACTATGATGTATCATAGAATTGATGAATCAATCACACAGGGATTCACAGATGTGACAGCATGAAGTAAACATTCAGACATTGGGAAGTCAGAAGTCTTGGAAGCCTTGGAAGATACCATTTTGCTATTTCTAAGGGGATCCTTGAAAGAGAGAAACAATTTGGATACATAGATATGGAGTATAAAACAATTTGGATACATAGATATGGAGTATAAAACAATTTGGATACATAGACATGGAGCCCAGGTAGTAAGATAATAGTAAGACAAATTTGATAACAAAGAAAGCAACGGGGGAGTCCGTAGGGGTGTGAGGAGCACCCACAGGCTGGAACTTAGAGTGTCCGAAAGGATTTAATGGAAACTAACATAAGAATGGTCTGTTGGAATCAGGTAATGGGGATCTGACTTGACATCTAGGGTAAGGTGCATGAATACTATTCAACAGGGAATAGACAGCATAGAGTGAACAAATCTGTGGGGTTCCTTCAGTTTATTCAGATTTCATTCAGCTTTTGCAAATATGCTCTTCATTACCACTTCCTCTCATTATTTGGGTAATATTTCTACCTTTTCTGGGATGTAAAAGGCAATGAAGAACAACTACTAACTTCCAAGCATGTTAATAACAATGGCAATGCAACAATGATGACAACATTAGCTGTGATTTTTTAAGTGCCAACGACACGGTTCTCACAGAGCATATAAGTAAGGACTTAACTCATTTAATCCTCCCAGCTGATTAGGACATTTCACCTACTGCACTACAGCTTCCTAAATGCTTGCTTAGCATATGAGAACTTTCAACTTTTAAGAGGTCAAGTTGACCATCTAGGGCTTTAACACTCCTCTGTTGACTTAATTATAATGCCAAAAAGTGCAAAGATAAAATATGCCTCATTTCTGCCCTTATAAATCTCATAATTAGTTGAGAGAAATTGAATCTGGAAATATACAAGTGCCCAATTGCAAGCCTCGGAGATGTTCTACCTGCTTGTACTCGAAAGGCAGACACCCAGAAGGAAACCCTTGGCTCACTGGGAGTGAGGCAGGGCAGGCTATATTCAGGGGACACTTGACTGGAGCTTATGTGATGAGAAGTCTGTTTAAGAGGGTTCTTGGGGAGTGGCAAAGGGCAGAGGCGGAGGAGGGAGTAGTATGCAAGACTGAGAGGTACCCACACATCCCTATATGCACAGACAGGATGTGTTTGGGGACATGCAGATGGTTCTGCAGAAGGGAACATCAGATGTAAACAAGAAAATGGTGAGATTTGGGCCTGGTAAGGGCCTTGTATGCTCTGTTGAGGAACTTGAAGTTTTCCAGTAGGTCATTGGAACTGGAGATTTTATGTAGGAAACTGAATGGTTAGACTTGTACTTTGAAAAGATTCCTCCAGAGGTTGGTTGTGTATGGTGTGGGTTGAGGAGATGGAGATAGGTATAAAGAGAAAGGTTAGTGAAGTGTGCATCCCGGCAGGCAGGGAGAGAGAGGATATAGAATCAAGGTGCTGGGTAAGTAGAGTCACCTGCACAGGATGCTACTGGTTGGACATCGAAGATTAGGGCAAAGAATAGGGATGACTTCAGGTCTCCAGTTAGGGAGGACCCTTCTGAAGCAATTTATTTTTAATAATTGAAATATTTTATATTTTTAAAATTGGTTGTTTTCAATATATTCCACCGATGTTTCAAGAACTCTTAATAAAAGGTAATACGTGATAATGATAAACACTACAGTTAGTTGGAGTAATTTTCAATGACTTGAAAAGATAACTTTCAAGATGGGCATTTTCTGCATTGATAGGGATGGGATAGGTAGTTTCATATCTTCTGGGATAATTAAGCTCTAGACCAGGGATGAGTCTTCCAAAGTCAAGTTTACTGCCATTGAGAATGTAGTCACTATCAGAGCCCAGCTGTAAAAGGCAAAGAGACCCAGGCACAGTGAAATCAACTTTGGCAGCCCTTTGGCCTTTCTCTGTATCAACATAACAATTTCCAGATTCCCTTGGAACTGGAAGGCATCCTTAGCAGGTGCTGATGACGAATCCATCCTTATGGCCTGTTGAGTCTTTCAGTTCTATCTAGTAATACCTGAAAATTTCTCCCGTATCTCAGATTCTGTGTTCTTAATTTGGTGAGCTACGGATTCCCCTTGTTTTAGTCTCTGTGGACACAGAGCACTGGGGTCATTGGGAGACAGGCGAGAAAGCTATACAAATATATTTGACCCTGCAAGTTAGGTTGATACAGAAGACAGATATCAAGCTTAATAATGGTTAGTCAAGGGGTCAAGCAGGATTACTCAGGCTAGAAGCACAAGAATTTCCATTCCCAAGTAGCCAAAGTGGTTTCTGCCTTTCTAATTTCCAAAAGACTCAAAAAGAGAGGATACACTTCCTTGCGATCTGTATTAGGGTCATGGGAAGCCCCGTTAACAAAGATGGGCATTCCAAAAGTGAATCGTTTTCTAATCTGAGAAAATAAAATGAGGTGTTTATAAAATGCTTAGATTCTGAGAACGTTAAAGAATCCAGTCCTTTGCCTTTTTTTTCTTTTAACTGAAGAGGAAAGACATCCAGAAAAAGCTGTGAATTGTCCCAAATCACGAAGTTTTGAAACTTGTCCACCACATCACAATGCTTTCTCTTTCCAGAATTCCTTAGAGGAAAAATGTTAAGAAAATCTCCTCATTTCCTGCTTCTTTGTGCCAGCGGCTACTCATGACTAACTGAACATATGGTTACTACGGTTTTGTCCCGCAGCCAGCTGAAGTAGAGGAGCAGGGAGTTGCTTTCCAGCAAGGGAAAGAATCTGCACGAAATAATGGGCTGTCATCTGAAATATTTTCAGATGTCGGCTTTTTAAAGAGAGCAAGCTGAGAGAGCCGGCTTTCCCTCAGATTTTGTTGTAGGGCATCATTCGCCTCAGATGCTTGTAAATCCCAAATTCTGTACATTCGCCCGCCACGGTGGTTTTCACTTCTTGACCCCTCCCCAACGATCCCTGAGGTCGCGGCTCACACTGCTCATTTCTTTGAGTCCCTGATGCATCTTACACATTTCAGCCTCTCGAATGTTCATCTTTGGGCTGGGCAGCGGATGAGATAAAGAAAGGCTGTTAGTCTGGCCGGATCCACGTCTGGCGCCAAAGTGTGAGTCTGGGCTTTAATTCTTCCTGCCTGAGAGAGGTTTTCAGCAAAGCAGCCATGCTGGGGTTTCCTTCGATTTTAAAAGGACTAAAGGTTCGATTCAATGGACCTTGCCCTTGCACTGTGTAATTGAGAATTTTGCTTAAGGAAAGATATTAAATTACCCCAGAGGTGAGGAGAGGGGGTGAAATCTCAGGACACACTTTTCTACGGTGGATTTCCCCTGGTATCTAGAAAATGGCAAGTGACCGTGAGCGCAGCCCACAGCTGAATGTTTTATCACCCACGGGGGACACGGTCAGGCCAACAGCATAAAAACACACAAGGTCATTGTTACACCTCAGACATGAGGCTCTAGGGACCAGTAACAAGTGGACACAAGGATAATTTCTAAACTAACTGTGCCTTTGGGCTCCCATTTATCTACAATTAGATATTTGGTTTCCTTTCCCTGTGGTTGTTCTGAGATAACTGTGAGAGTTATGGAGAGTAAAGACTAACCTGAACTGCCAAGCAAGAGGTGCTAGAACTCCCCTAAGAAGTGGACATTATTTGATGACAGGGATACTTGTGGGCTCCGGGGTCATGATTACACGGAGACAGTTTCTCTGGAGAGCCAGCCTCCCCACCACCCGCCTCCCATCTCCAAAGATCTGCAAGAAGAGGACCCCCTGGTGGTGGCGATGGATGGTGGCTTCAGGATGGTGCATGGGAAGGCCCACAGCTGGGAGGTCAGTTTCCACTTACCTGACACGTCCAGGTGCTCCAGGTTGGGGCAGAGGGACACCACGTCAAACACGGCCTCGTTGGAGATATTGTAACAGCCTGAGACCTCCAGACGCCTCAGCTCGGGGCAGCACTGGGCGATGGTGTAAAGCCCTCGGTCTGTGAGCCGCCGGCAGCCACTGACAGTGACGGTTTCCAGCATGAGACAGACGTTGGGGGTGTCCTGGCAGAGTCTGCGGGTTAGCACCTTGAGGGCGCGGTCCACGTTGATGGTCTCGCCCGTCAGGCGAATAGTCCTCCAGAGGCGCGGGTCCCAGGCCAGGTTGTACCAGCGGCGGCACACGCGCGCGCAGCGGCACAGCTGGTTGGTGGGCAGGAAGGAGAAGATCTGCACCATGGACTGGTCCGGGAGCCGGTCTATGCTGGCCTGCTCCTTCTGGGGTCTGGAGGCGAGCCGGATGAGTGGGTGCGTGAGGCGGGTTGGGGGTGGGGAGTGGACCATGGCCACCGTCTCCCCGGTGATGGACGACGAGGAGGTGGACGAGCCCCTTCCATTCTGAAATCCTGGCAGATTCGGTGGACATATCAGGGCTGGGCTGGGCGTGCTCAGTGTGCGCATGCTCAGGTCGGAGTCTGGCAAAGGACAGAGAACAAAGGGTTAAGGATGATGGCCTCAGCAGAGCCCTGGGAAGGGAGGGACTCGGAGAACACATTCACGGGGCAACACTCTCGTTCCACTGATATCCTTCCTAGCAGACCTGCGAGGCCATCCCCAGAGGCAGAAGCACATGCAAGTGTCACCCAGTCCAGGGAGCGGCTCATCCCCCAAGGTCTACACCAGGGGTGGACAAACTGCAATGGAAAGGGCCGCATATTAAATATTTGAGTCTCTGCAGGCCACGTGGGCTCTGTCTCCTTTGCAATGACTCAACCCTGCCATTGTAGTGCAAAAGCTGCCATGAACAATAGGCAAACAAATGGGTGTGGCTGTTTCAACAAAACTTGTTTTATAAAAGCAGACCAGCTGGACACGTCCCTGTCCAGACCAGGGGACAATCCCACTGGGCTATGGTTTGCTGACATCCAGTCTGCATTAATGGTGATCATCTAAAGGGCACAACTTCAAAGTTTCATTGTTTCTATTCTGGGGAGAAACCTCATATATTAGATACAGAAACTTATTTGCTTTCCTAATTATATTTTGGCTAGGTGATGATTCTGTTGCATTTACAAATGAGAAGAGTGAGTTTCAGAAGAGGGCAAGACTAGTGAATGGGTGTCGAGAACATCTGGTGTCTTGCCTTCGCCTCCCCCAGAATCCACCTGCTCGTCTTTTGGTGACAGTACTCCAGACGGGGGGAGCCTCCCCTCTCCCTCTGCCACATCAGGCATCTCAGATGATACCTCCAGTCCATGATTAACTTTGAAAATATTTATTTTTCTTTCTTATTAAAAACCTCCCCTTTGCATTTGAATAATATGAGTTGTATTCTGTTTCTTGGAACAAGAAAGATCACTTGATAAGGACATAAGTAGTTTTTACATTTATGAGGGATTTAGCCAGGTATGGTGGCTCATGCCTGTAATCCTAGCACTCTGTGAGGCTGAGGCAGGAGGATCGCTTGAGGTCAGGAGTTCGAGACGAGCCTGAGCAAGAGTGAAACCCCATCTCTACAAAAAAATAGAATAAAAATTAGCGGAGTAACTAAAAATAGAAAAAATTAGCCATGTGTGGTGGCATGTGCCTGTAGTTCCAGCTACTTGGGAGGCTGAGGCAGCAGGATTGCTCGAGCCCAAGAGTTTGAGGTTGCTGTGAGCTAGGCTGACACCATGGCACTCTAGCCTGGGCAACAGAGCAAGACTCTGTCTCAAGAAAAAAAAAAAAAATGAGGGATTAAGAATTCGTTAGAACACCACTTCAAGAT